TCCTCCAATAAAAATTCTTTCTTCAAGAGGTATCATTTGTATTAAGTCTTCTAAGTCATTCCAAAATTTATCTTTAGACTCTGTATCTAAACCTACTTGAGGAGCATAAACACTTATAATATTAACAATCTTAGTATCAATGATAATCTTAAGGGCTATAATTCTATCACCAACTCTATTAATTTTTACAACATTATCTTTCAAACTCTTATCTATAATTACACCTACACCATTTCTAGTGCGACTCTTATCAGAATACCAAAGTTTAAAACCTATATTATCAATCTCCTTAGCCTTTTAGACCGCCACCACGACTCTAATTGGGGAACTATTTTTTTGCTGCTTTTTAGAGTTTTCTGTGGTAGAAAACTACTTTTTACAATCAGAACTATTAAAGTGTGGTGGCTATATAAAAAATGTTGTATAATTTTTTAGAAAAAAAAAATATTTATAAGTCCCACCATAGCTTTTAAAGAAATTCATCTCTCCAGCTCAACTATACAACCACCTCTACAAAAACAACAATCATCCCAAATGGACTCTAAATCCCACATCAGACTGACTATCAATTGGAAAAGATCATCCAAAGGAGAAACTAGAAAGAATAAGGTTATTCTTATCTTTCTTCACAGTTCAGTTTAGAACAACAGCCCATCTCCAACAGCGTTCATATTATTTACATGAGAATCGAGCTTGTTAAGAAAAAGGAACTTGCCATAGCAACAAGCTTTAACCTATTAATGTGATTATTTAGCACTGTGCTTTCCTATATAACCTCGAAAAAGATTTTGATATCAGGCCCAACCATACTTTTTGGAGTTGACCACTGTGTTAAAGGCTGAAGTTGTTTCCAAGGATGGATAGTGATGGAAAAGGTAAATTGAAGAGCCATCTGTGCATTTCATTCCAATTCTTGTCGAATATTCGCTGCCATGACATCAATAGCGATGGCTGAGTTTGTAGTAAAACCAGCCACTTCAATTTGAGCTGTTGGGCATTTGTTTCCAGATTAATAAGAAAAGCATATTTTCCAAGAGAAATAATTTTCTCATATCACCGATTTATTTACATCCCAAAACAGTAGAGAAACAATCATAGAAACCAATTAAATTACATTGGCTACCTTTGTTTTTCCATAGAAAAGAAAATGAACAAGGTCATTTAGAGCAGTAATTGATGAATAAAATAATATTTCAAGGGAAGAAAAAGAGGCAACCCGGCTTCTGTGAATTACAGCTAGTTGCAGTAAGTGGGCTACATATAAATGGCATAAGGCAGTGATTGCTGAGTGCCAGCTATGGCAACAATCATGCAATAATTTGGGAGCTTACTGTTGAGAAATTAGGACGAAAAAAAAAAAAAAAACAAGAATCGACTCAAATTCAAAAGAACACACAAAAATTGAACGAGGTTCAGCAAAGATGCCTATGTCCTCGGAGCAGAGCGGAGAATTTCACTATTTTAGAGGAGTCCAGTTACATACCCATAGGGTTACACATCATATATATAGATAAAACCCACAAATAAAATTACAAACACGCCCTCGCTCCCCCAACCCACTTATCTCCAAGAGCACACCTCTTCATTCCAAGAGACTCCAAATTCTGGTATATGAGTCATACCTAACAAATATCCACCTTGACGAATATTCAGTCCCTTAGGAGAAATACATATACTTAACAAATCTCCACCTTGGCGAATATTCAGCCCCTTAGGAGAAATACAAAACATCATGGAGTTTCTTACATCGAAGTGGGTTGGCTCACAACCAGCAGAAGAAGAGTGCAGGGGACAATCAAATTATCTTTTGCTCATACAATATTCAGCCCCTTAAGCCGTGTCAGACATTGATCTGGCTCAGCACTGTGATTATTTGATTGAAGACATTCAAGTGCTGTGTCAGATCAATGTCTGTCTACATCTTTTATTCATACAGTATTTGCTTCAGATACAATTTATTTGTTAGAGATTTGGACATAAACTGAGATTTTAATTTCTTCCATACTTCTACTAGAGATTTCAAATTCATAACATGATACATAATCTCATTTGCCAGACATAAACGAATGGTACCTGTCGCTTGTAGTTGCAATTCTTCTCATGCTTCATCTTCCAGATTATCAGATTTCGTAGCTCGTAAAGCCTTCAAAATTCTTTATTGTGCCAACAAATCTTTCACCCTTGTTTGCCACAATTTGAAGTTATCGGTTCCATCAAACTTCACTATCTCGAATTTTGCACCAAACATTATTATTTGAAATTAATCTTGCAACAGACTTTTCTTGCCTTGTATCGAAACAAAAACACACCGCAAATAA